GCCCTTCAAGTCCCTGATGCCATACTGGGTCCCCGATGAGTCGCTGGAGGAGTACATTAACCTGGCTCTGCATTTGAGCGGCTCAACCTTCAGGGTGGAGTTAGCTGCGGAGCCTGCTCACAGTTCTCCCGAAGAGGCAATCCAAAGGCCGTCAGAGGCCTCGTCTGCCACACCCAGTACCTCACGCCCGTTCCCGGAGTGTCCCGGGCTGATACGCAGCGTGCAGGAACTCCCGCTTATGTCGGTGCGAGCGGCGTGGTCTACTCGCAAAGCCCCTGAGGCGGCGGTGCCTGCTCACGATCCTCCCAAGGTGGCGGTGCCCACTCACAGTGCTCCCGAGGCGGCGGTGCCCGCTGATGTTCCCTTCGAGGCGGCGGAGCTCATTTCAGGCCTTCCCGAAGCAACGGAGACCGCTAGTACTATCTCCGAGGTGGCGGAGCTCGCTTCAGGCCTTTCCGAAGCAGTGAAGCCCGCTGATGTTCCCTCCGAGGCGGCAGAGCTCGCTTCAGGCCTTCCCGAAGCGGCGGAGCCCGCTAGTACTCTCTCCGAGGCGGCAGAGCTCGTTTTTGGCCTTCCCGAAGCGGCGGATCCCACTGATGTTCCCTCCGAGGCGGCAGAGCTCGCTTCAGGCCTTCCCGAAGCAGCGGATCCCACTAATGTTCCTTTCGAGGTGGCAGAGCTCGTTTCAGGCCTTCCCAAAGCAGCGTAGCCCGCTAGTACTCTCTCCGAGGCGGCAGAGCTCGTTTCTGGCCTTCCCGAAGCGGCGGAGCCTGCTGATGTTCCTTTTGAGGCGACAGGGCTCATTTAAAAAGCTCCCGAGGTGGCGGTTCTCGCTCACAAGGTTCCAGAAGCGGCGGAGCCCACTGATATTCCCTCTGAGGCGGCGGGGGTCGCTTCTGGTCTTCCCCAAAGCAGCAGTGCTCGCCTCTGGGCTTCCCGAAGCAGCGTAGCCCGCCCTTGCCCGTTCCAAGGCGGCAGCTCCACGCACACGGACCTGGCCCCCCCATCCCTCCCCCACTCCGACCCTGCTCTGCCGTCCAACTGGTTGGGCGCTCGGAAACGTCTGGAAGCCATTCCTTAGAGGAGGGGTCCTGTCAGGGGTCCGGGCCCTGTGTTTCTCCATCTCACCACCAGAGGTTGCCATCTCCCTTCCTCCCGGACTCCATTGCCCAGACTCCACTCACCTGTCACTCATTACACCCTCAGCTGTTCCCCATTGTCACATACTATATATTCTCCTCTCACTCACCACTCTGCCTGGCTGAATTAATTGTATTGTAATTGTAATTGTATTTGTCGTAGTTGGTTGATGCAAGCATGTTTGTTGCCAAAATTGTATCCCATTCCTGATCTTGTTTTGTAGATACGTTCTGATCTGTTTTTGTTTCTTTTTGTCTGCCTTTCTGTTTATTAAATCTAGTTTCACCTGCATTTAGACCCAGACCCTGTTTTTCCACAGTGTTCCCTTACCGCACAGTGACAGTAAGTGGCACTAAAACATGTGGCCACATTTTCATTCCATTGGTACAGGCACGCATTGTGGTGGTTCAGAATTCAAATGTCCGGGGAGTGTCGCTAAAAGGCTAATGCTCTATCGTCTTGGAAAATAGCAAACCCCCTACACCAAACCCAACCCTAAATCTACCAGAGAGTGTTTACGAAAGCAAAAGTGATATGAAAACACAATCGTTGATGCAACTGTACTATTTTTACTTGCTTATACACGGGTCAAACTGTAGTTTCACAGGATTTGTACTGAAGTGCTTCACCTCGCAAGTGCAACGCTGTATAGGTGGGCTACTGAGCAAACCTACTGCATTAGAAAATCAATATATGAAGCTCTATATGTGACGCTAACATTCAAAAGTACCAGTTTTCAAATCTAGCAGCATATTAGAATTCATAATCATAACATAAAATAGTGAAAGGAATTGTGCAAAAATAAGCCTTGCTTAATCAAAACTTTGGCCCTGTAAATCATACTTTGTGTGAAAAGGAATAAAAATGGTCAGTTTTATTGCCTCTAGTGTTCATTTCAAATGGAAACTGCAGTGATTTGTACATATAGGCATGGTTTTTCTTTTTGAGTTTTACAGATTAACTGTACCTCCCAGCACTACCAAAATATTTTGTGAAGCAAAAATAGTAGCACATGTAGTATAACTGAAGTATAATTGCCAGTATAATTGAAGAGAGTACAGAAGTTCAGTGCTAAGCTAACAGTTAAATGTGAACCTGCTCTCATATTAGCACCAGACACTGTAATCAGCTGAATTCTGTTTTAAAATTAGATCCTACAATAAGCTTGTCAAGACATTCTATTTTTTTTTCTCCAACACACATTGTAATTGTTAACAACCTAGTGATTAGCATCTCTCCTGTGCGCTAATGTGTTTCCCAAAGGGAAATTATGGGCTTCCTAATGTGGCCATCTCAGGTTGCGTCCTCTTCCATCTGTGGTGACAATGATGCAGAAATGAAAAAACTGAAACAGTGACATCATCACCATCATCATCATGATCATACGAGAAAGAGGATTCCTTTTTTAACAGGATCGATTTTTCCCCTCGATTGAATATGAGGCATGGTTTTGACATTTACAGTGAGAGCAGAATAGGATGACAGATGATACAGATGAAATAAGAGGAATACAGATTAGTATTCCAGAGGGAGCAGGGGCCAGTGGCAATCAAGAATCCTGAATCCGGTATCTGGCTCCATGTTTTGCTGTGTGCCAGTGGAGTCCGTGGAAGATGCCGAGATCGCCGCAGAGGAGCTCTAAACGCACAGCTTAACACCAGCGCTGGGGAGATCAGCTCTCCTCTCCTCTCCACTCCTCCGCTCTTGGGGAGGTGACGGGAAAGAGAGACAGCAGAGAGAGAGAGAGGGGGGGACAACGGAAAAACGGGAAAAGACAGAGAGTAGCTGTTTTTTTTTTTTTTTCAGGCTGCTTGGACTATCAGCCCGTGTTTGTGTGTATGAATTTTCCTGACTCTCTCTCTCTCTCTCATAATTGTCTTCTGGTTTTCTGGGATGGTTTGAAGAAGACTTGTATGTGATGCTTCCTGCACAGAGGTAAGTCCAATCAAAACAAGTCGGTATCCCTGAAGAACCAGTTGCTCTGAGAAATGAATGAACATGTGCTGAGGAGTTGGTGTTGTGCTTGGGACATAATCCAGAACGTCATTTTTCAGTTTGACGTGTAAACTGCTGTAGGTCTGTATCTCGTGTGTGCGTTTCTACGCATGCAGGATTTAGGTACAGGTGTCTGTGACATGATCTTCTAATTCAATGGAATCATTAACATCTGCTCAAGTGTGGCGGGCACAGGTTGTACCTCTATTTTCAAACCGGAGAGGCCAGGAACGTTGCCTAGCAATATTACAACCATCTCCATTTGAAGAGATGTGATTTTATGCTCTGCTGCCTGACGGTGGGGCATCCTTTACACGAGGACATGCCAGAAGCCACACGGAGCACATTGAGTACTCGTGCATTTGCGTGTGGCACGGTAGGAGGCGGACTTGAGGTTGTCTATGGTCCTCAGTCCAGGCTTGCCGGTACGCGAAGCTGTGTGGAACGCTGTCGCTGGGTTTCGCTGATGAAGATTCATGGTTTCTCGCTCTGTCGTTCTGCCTTGGCCGCTCTGTTACACACTGAGCTAAACGTCTGCTGCGTCTGCAGCTCACTCGAAACTCTCCACACTGCAGGGGCCGAGCATCTTGACAGCCATCAGCACCTCTCACACGTGTGTGTGTGTTAGACTGTGTGTGATAGTGTAAATGAGATTATGTGTCCAAGTGAGCAAGACTGGGTAAATATTGCCGCTCTACCTCTGTTATTGTGTAACTCGCAGGAGAAGCTTTTGTAGATCGAAGACTCTGTGTGTGTTGCGCTGGACCTGTGCTTTTCTAACAGATAGTGCTCAGAATCTCAAGCACACACTCGATCACGACTCAGACCAGCCGGAAACACAATGTTCTCACCTGCATGGATCTTAGTGTATGATGCTGGAAATGAAAATTAAACCAAATGAAAAGTCATACACGCAATATATGCAAAAATATGTGCATGTTACGCACACAATGAAACTTTAAAAACTGTACAAAAATTAAGTAGGCTGCCAAGAACAAAAAGTAATACATATTACCATGTTTTTTTTACCCTGGTAATAATGTGTTTTTTCTCTCTCTCTCTTTTGGGTATACCATATAATACCATGTTTGTATTGGACATGCACCATGGTAGTGCAATGTACTTACATTTATTTATTTTTTGAACATATACCATGGTACATTCAGGTTTTTTGTTTTTTTACATTTACCATAGTAACACCATGTTTTGGATATTTACTGTACCATTAGGATACATACCATTGCAGTGTTGGGGTTCACTAACTAAAATGAGCAACTACTACTTAAAGGTGTAGTTCCCCAAAAATAAAAATTCTTCAACAGTGACTGACCCTCATGTTCTTCAAAACCTGCGGGGTCCAAATAGCACTAGACCTTATTGACTTTCATTGTATGGACAAAAATACTGGCATGTTTTTCAAAATATCTCCAAGTATTCAAGTAAACATTTAAATATACAATTTCAGTCACGTTTTTCTTTGACAAATTGCTTTAGTTCTTCTATTGTGAGTCGTTTTGGATAAAAATGTCTGCTAGATGCATAAATATAAACGTTATCAGTTCATTCCCTGGGAATCGAACCCATGACCTTGGTGTTGCTAGTGTCATGCTTTATTTGTGCTACAATAATGGGAAAATGCAAAACTTTGATTTAGCTTCATTGTAAATTACAAGGTATAATTCACAAATCTTTTTTTTTTTAAATGTAGAAATTAAGAATTGAGATGTGAAAGCTGTCCACAGAGCATGTGTGCAAACACACGTCAGCAAAAGCTGTTATTATTTTAGTAACGACTTGATTTACTTGATATTTTAGTAACGACAAAATGATTTACAACCTACATCACTCTTTGATTATCACATAATGTGTGTGAATTGCTTGTGCAAATCAGTTTGTCAGTTTGGTTTGTGTAATTAATATGGTTTAAAATTGATTGATTGAATAATTTATTAATTTGATTGATTGATTCAACTGTAATATATATACAGTTGTGCTCAAAATTATTCATACCCTTGGTAAATATGATCAAAGAAGGCTGTGAAAATTGTGAAAAAAATGTGAAAATCTGTATCATCAATCCTTTAGATATTTTATTTTAAAAATTTACTAAAATCTAACCTTTCATTGGAGAATAATAATTTAAAATGGGAGAGAAATCTCATTATGAATAAATGTTTTTCTCTAATACACATTGGTCACAATTAATCATACCCTTTTATCCAATACTTTTTGCAACCTCCTTTTGCCAAGAGAACAGCTCTGAGTCTTCACCTATAATGCCTGAAGAGTTTAGAGAACATCTGACAGGAGATCAGACACCCCTTCTTCCAGAATCTCTCCAGACCCTTCAGTTCCTCTTTAGGAACTCGAGCTGCGTCGGAGGACGCTTCGGGAACACCCTTCAGCGTGACCGGCTCTGAACCTCGTGTGTAATCAGACCAATAGATGGGCGAGACGTCACGGGCGGGTGACGTAATGACCAGGAAGCTATAAAAGCACGTGCGATGAGACCAGCGTCAGCTTTTCTGTCATTCAGCAAGCGCTCTGTGTGTGTGTCAGTTGTGAGTCTTATTTGGTGCTGTCTGTCCCATAGAAAATAAAGTGAGAAAAGGAAAGACCAGTTAAGGGGCGAAGGTGGGCAGCGTTTCAGACTGTGTGTTCCTCCCTGCCCGCGTTTCATTACGGGTGGGGATACACACAGCCTGTGCGTTGTCTGCCTGGGAGCGGAGCATGC